ATTTCACTTTGCTTTTCCTATCTTTGTTTTTTAATTCCTAAAAGGTATAATAATCTCCTTTGGCTCCAAGAAAGAGAATTTAAAAAGAGACCCGGCACTCGAAATATAAATGAAGATTTCACTGGTTCCTCCCTCTGACCTCATGTCACTTCTGTATCCTACAGTGATGTCAGCGGGAGGAACCAGTGAGAACTGTGGGGGGGGGGGTCACGGAGATTGACCGACAAGTGTCAGTTTCCCAGAGGGCTTTGGGGGATCAGATCACTGCAATGAAGCAGCACTGAGCAGAGCAGGCAGTAGGAAAGGTAAGTATTTAAGCTGTTGTATTATGTGACAGGGTCTCTTTGAAGTGTAACTTCAAATATATAGTATCTCCACTATTGCCATGCACCAATCACCCATATTTAAAATATAGTTGTGTTATGCAAGGTAGGGCAAATCAACGGCTTCATTTTAATAATCCCCTATTCACTACCCCACTGCTTCAATCAGTTGAAAGCAATGAAGACAGACTAATGTAAGCCAGCTAGGGCTGAGAACTTTTGCCACGCCCATGTGACAGTGGTGGGCCAATCACGAGGTACTGATGCTGTCAAAAAAAGTACTTCTCTGCAACTGGAAATACCAGAAATATGTTTGGTTTTTATTGCTCCAGGAGGCTGATTGGAGGGGCATTAATAGTGAAGGAAAGGTGAATATATGCTACTAGAGAAGGAGGCTGTTTTCTGTAGTCTTCGCTGGGCAAAGCAGTACTTGTAATGTCTGCAAATACAACATTAGTCTTCAGATTATTCCATGTGATCCTGTAGAGCCCAGACTGTGCATGGGGCCTTTACTTCCAAGCAGGGCAAGGCTAAGGCCCCATTCACACACGAATCGGCCTGCACGTACAGCTCCGTACCAAGTAGCTGCCAGGAAGGACAGGTGCTGTGTGTGATTAGTACGCAAGCCCCTGTCCTTCTCTATGGGGCTGCGCGGCCGTACGCCCCCCTACGCTCACCTCAATTGCAGGTCTGTAGGGGTGCGGGTGATCGTATTCATACGCCGCTGGAATGGATCCTGTATGCTTCCCGGCCAGAAAACCCGCACCCCTACGGACCTGCAATTGAGGTGAGCGTAGGGGGGCGTACGGCCGCGTAGCCCCATAGAGAAGGACGGGGGCTGCGTACTAATAACACGCAGCACCTGTCCTTCCTGGCAGCTGCTTGGTACGGCCCCGCACGCAGCTGTACGTGCAGGCCGATTCGTGTGTGAATTGGGCCTAAGCCCTGCTCCTCTCAGTGTCAATTCTTTTAAGCTGTGCATTTAAGCACTGCTGTTACCTTAGAAACATTTTAGGCCACGTCAGATTTACTTTAACAATGAGGAGAACAGACCATGTCCTGGCACAAAGCTGGAAAGTGTGTGCTTTACCAGCATTCATAACTTTCTGATGTCTCTCCAGTAGCTGCCAAGAAGACAACAACGAAGGCTCACCTACAAGTGAGAGATTTAATTGTGTAGTGCCATTAACCCCTTGTTGACACAATTCTCTGCTTTGTGTACAGTAATATTAAATAGGGATGCCAATACTAGTATTGGTGCCGATACCCAGTATTTGGGCGAATACTCGTACTCGCCAAAATGCTCCAATACTTACCTCTGATACCAGAACTTCCGGTCAGGGGGAGATCTCCCTCTGACCAGCACTACCGAGGGAGCATGGAGCCAGCTTCCTTTCTAATCAGTAAGCCTAGCAGTGGGTTATGACCCACCTCCCGGATTAGCTAAGAAGCCTGGCTTCACTTGTTGCTAGGCAGCATGGTTTCCTAACCAATCAGGAAGCTGGGCGGCACACAATGACTCGCTGCCCGGCTTCCTGATTGGTCAGGAAGCCTTGGCAAGTGAAGCCGGATTTCTTTCACTAGAAAACCAGCTTCACTGGCAATCAGGAAGCCGGGTGACGGGTCACGATCCACCGCCCGACTTCCTGATAATCGGGGCACAATGCACCGGTACTCGGTATCGGACAGTACAGAAATACAATTATCGGTACTCGTACTCGATACCGGAAAAAAAACGGTATCGGTCCATCCCCGATATTAAAAAAGCTAATATTTTTGTATTAGTACATAAACATTAAATTATTTTATCATCAAATCAACTGCTACATCATTTCATTTTCCATCGTCACCAGTCTATCCATCTATAATTCTGAAAATAGTTTATTCTCACCTTCTCCACTAAGTTTGGCTGGCCTTCTCTCTCGTAATTTTGAGGCGGATGGCCGAGATGCTTTGGATGAAACAGACAACTGCAAAAAAAATAAAAATACATATTTTTTAAGTCTCTCTGAAATCTAACCAAGCTTACCCATATGATTTTTAACCCCTTCGTGACTGACGACCTACAGTGTACGTCGCCAGCATCGGGGCTGTTTAAACAGACTCCCGGTGACTTTTGCCGCCGGGACTCTGTTTAAACTTGTAGAGCCGACTGTCGGCTTTAACTCTGAAATCTAACCAAACTTACCCATATGATTTTAAAGGCTCTCTGAAATCTAACCAAGCTTACCAATATGATTTTAAAGGCTCTCTAAAATGTGTACACGCTTACCCATATGATTTCAAAGTCTCTCTGAAATCTAACCAAGCTTACCCATATGATTTTAAAGGCTCTCTAAAATGTGTACACGCTTACCCATATGATTTCAAAGTCTCTCTGAAATGTAATCAAGCTTACCCATATGATTTCAAAGTCTCTCTGAAATGTAACCAAGCTTACCAATATGATTTCAAAGTCTCTCTGAAATGGAATTAAGCTTACCCATATGATTTCATAGTCTCTCTGAAATGTGTACAAGCTTACCCATATGATTTTAAAGTCTCTCTGAAATGGAATCAAGCTTACCCATATGATAAAATATACACACCCATGTTAATTTTGAAAGAAAACAATGCACTACCGTAGTCCACCTCCAAACAATCATATTTCAGTTTTTCTGTTTTCCAATGGTTATAAAAGTTAAAGCCATACTCCGTGAAATAAAATGATGATTTACACACTGCACTGGGTGTGCAAATTATTATGAAAAAGCTCTGTTATGTGTGGAGGGCCGCTGAAAAGTATGAAAATCTTACCTTGCAGCATACTGGCTCCTACACATAATGCCAAACTTCTGGGGAAGTGAGGGATGCATCTCGAGCAGTGAAGTGCTCCAGTTGCATCCCTGCCTCTCCAACTACTTGCCCTTTCACAAAATGCCTTGTATTTTTCTCAAACAAAACAAGGCATTCTGTGATTGGAGGAGAGGGGGCAGGGATATGACATCATATCCTACCCTCCAATCACAGAGTATTCTTTGAGAAAAAGCAAGGGATTTTGTGAATGCGCAATTAGCAAGGAGGGCTGGGGATGTGACTGGAGCACGTCACTGCTCCAGTTGCATCCCTCACTTCCCTCAGCGCCCAGAAGATCACCATTATGTGTAGGAGCTGGCATGCAGCAAAGCTAACATGTTTAGACTTTGCAGCAGCACTCCACACATAACACACAGCTTTTTAGTGATCATGTATATGCCCAATGTGGTGTGTAAATTATAATTTGTTCCTGGAGCAACATTCACCATATTTATTCCCAGAGGATTTTTGTAAAAGTCATTCTGAATTGAGAAAGCTGGTTGGGTGACCAGCAAAATGACTTGAAGAAAAAGACAGCAAGTCCAGTTGCTTTGATTTATTTTTCCCAGATTATATTTTTTACAGCAGTTTGGCTTTGAGTAAGCAATTGATTAATATCAGTGTGTTAAAAATACCACACTTTCTTTTTTCCACCAGCAACAAAAGTATTACATTTAGCATGGAGATTATGTAGCTTCCATTAGTAAAAACTAAACGTGTGGTTTTCAAGACTATTTTATGAGGTACAGGAAGTAGGACACTGCTAACGTGTTTATATACCTCTCTCTCTGCGTCACGTTTGCTTTCTCTTGCAGAGGTGTCCGAGGATTTCTTTGCAGACTCCTCTGATGTTTTATGCTGATAAAAGAGAAATGGAGTCTTAGAACTGTGGAAAGTATGCTGCTGAGCTAATGATGAATATATTATATTGCACAAAGAAACACAGCTTTTCATTCTCTTTGATCTGCAAAAAGTAATGTAGATGTACTAGAGAATGACCTTGCATATGCACTACTATTCAGAATTCTATTATTGACACTATACGGAGTGCCAAAGTATCTAGTCAGTGCCAGAGATCAAAGAAATATGAATTCTAGTTGTGTGTTAATATATAATTAGCCACATTATAGTTAGCATTGCAGCCAAGGCCTAGCTATATATTATTTGACTACGGTTTTCTATAAATAATACAACGTCTGTATTAGGAATGCAACGAAATGGAATTTTGAGACCAGACTAAAAAATTTGTCAGGCCAAAACCAAAAATGACGTTTTCTTTTTTCCAACCTTTTTAAAAAATGTTTTCTTTTTCTTTTTTAACTTTACTGCTGTAGGCTCTAGAGAAATATCTCCCTGATATTTCCCTTTTAAAATAGAAAAAGAGATTGGGGACACAGAGTCCTCAATCTCTTATTCTGCAGCACGTTATGAATGAACAGGAAGCCTCTATACTGAGTGTTCTTGTCTATTCATGCATTGAGGATATAGTGTGCTTACTATGCCCACAATCATGAATGAACAGGAAGTGATGTAGAACACTTCCCATTCATTCATAACTGGGGAAAAAGCAAGCACACTATGTCCAGTTATTTACAAACACTCAACGATCAGCTAATCACTGAGAATTTGTATACCGCTCTCCATCCTGAAATCGGCTGTCACAGGAGGCCGAGCGGCGGTGGGGGGAGGAGAGCTCCGTCTTCTGTGACGGATCACAGGGCTCTCCATCCTGACACATTAGGCGGAGCCGGGAGGAGAGCACGGCTTCCTGTAACGATGACAGCTGTCAGCAGCCCGCCCCACTCCAGGCATCCTGACTGTTGTCACCGCCTGCTCAGCCTCCTGAAAGCTTCATTCCTACACGATGGGCGCCGGCCACTGCATCATAAGGCACACAGACTGGCGTCCAGCATGGAGGAGAGAAGCTAGGGATACACTGAATTTTCGGACACATTTTCGGCGGTCATGGTACTTTTGACAGTTTGCCAAAAGTGCTATTTTCTGACAAAAATTTCGGTGCATCCCTAGTCTATATGCATGCCAGAATGAACGATCAGCACTGCACTCAGTTCACTTGCGTTATTACCTTTCGTTCTGATCTTGCTTCCTCTGGTTTTTCCTTTCTGTCCCCTTGTTGCTCATTTTCCCTTACACGTTCTTTTCTCCTTTCCGGATCCCTTTCTCGTCTTCGTTCCTTATCCTGTTCCCGTGTTCTTGTCCTCTCATCCCTGTTACGGTCACCACGATCTCTGTCCGTTTCACGACTGCGATCTTCAGGATCTTTCTCTTTTTCCAGGTTTCGCTCCTTCTCATGTTCTCTCTCTCGGCCTCTTACTTTTTCTTTATCTCTTGTTCTATCCCTCTCTTTTCCATGGCTCCCTTCACTTCGTCTTTCTCTGTCCCCGCCTTTCTCTTTATTTCTGTCTTTGTCAGTTTCTGACCGAGACTCTTTTATTCTGCTTTTCTCTCTATCATTTTTTTCTCCTTCTCGCAATCCATCTTTCTCTGTCTCTCCCACTCTTTCCCGTTCCTTCTTTTTTTCTCTCTCAGAATGTTTTTTTTCCTCATCCTTCAGCTGCTGTCTGTCTTTTCTGTCTTTGCTCCCACTTCTTTCCCTGATTTCAGACTCCTTCCTGTCCTAAAACACAAGATAAACAACATTAGCTTTTAGCAGTTAACGGTTAAACACTGTTACCAAGACAGTAAATAAAGTGAAATCTACAATTTTAGAGAGGTCATGAAAGCAGTACCAGACGTGACGGAAGATCTCCCAAACAGCCCTCACACAGACAGTAAAAAACAACCTGATACGGTTTTAACTGTTTTGGCTATACATACAACTTTAATAACACCACCTTCCATCCCGTTGTCCAATAGGCATATTATGTGACCTGGAACAAGTGATCTTTGAACTCACTAGCATGTTTGTACAAAGTCCTTAGACAGTAAAGTAGGGATGATAGCTTTGTAGGTTACACCTTAAAAAAGGACAGCAATTGCAGCTCCCCTATTTATGTACCGTTAGGTTCCTTTAAGATGTCATTAGGCTAATTGCACTTCATCCTCGATATCCTGATAAGGGCAGCAAGTGTACATGCCTACCTCTTTCTCCCTCTGGCTCCTTCGTTCTTCATCTTTTGCCTCTCTGTTCTCTTTATCCTGAGACTTGGTGCTTGATGAAGGCTTCCCTTTAGGTTCCAGTTTTTCTCCTGTTAGAACCCTCTTCACAGCATCATCACTGGATAACTAGATATAAAATTAAAAAAGGTTGAATATTTAAGTCAGTGTCATTTAGTATGTCATACTTCCAGTTCTGTCATTCTACCCAGAAACCCACCCTTAAACCCTTTGAGTAAAATGTGAAACGCGGGAAAAAGTAAAACGTATTAGGTGTTGCCCCCAGCAACCATAGTCCCATTAATTTTATTAGAGCAAGTCTTTAAATATAAATCTAGTAAGAGGCTGGCTAACATGACAAACACATGAACATTTCCAGTCCTTCCTTCCTGAAAACACACCAGCTAATGTATGGATTAGAATTATGAAAAACAATCTTGTTCAAGTGGACACATACTTTATTCAAACAGCATTTCCCTAAGGCCTGTAGGAACTCATTCGTCTTCTCCGGTTCATGTCCTGCCACAATACGAGCTGGCTTCACAGACAGAGGTTCTCCAATCACCAGACCAACTACATCTATTGCTTTCTGTAAGAAGCTGATTTTGGAATCCTTATCCTATGAATTACAAACAAACTGCAATTAAAATGGAAAATTGACAAGTAAACGTGGTAAGAGAGAATTAAAGCACATACATTGCTGTAAAAAAGTAGTTACTCCAACCTATCCAAATTTTGATATAGAAGGTTTTCAGATCTTTAACCAACATCTGACATTAGATCAAAAGGTACTGCTTCTACTCCTATACTCTCAATAAAACACAGGAGCTATACTGGTTATCAATACTAATTAAAAAACTAGGGACACTTGAAGTGAGGAAGGATCCATGTACAAGAACAACATAATGATCTCAATCCTGAAATATTTGACACAGCTCTAATTTTAAGTGGGCCTGAACTCAAAAAGTGAATTGCTATGTATTGATGACAGCTAGCTAATTGTACCTAAACAGTACCCAGAAAAATGTACCCTTTGTCTGAAATTCCTCCTGAAAAAAAACAGCAGTGCACTTCCTGGTATGTGAGGGACACTCCTGTGTACAGCCTCATAGCTGTATATCTTTAGTGTGAGATAAAAGGCACTACTGTCTCTGAATGCTAGTCTGAGAAGATTTGGGGTGAGATTTGGATGGGGATGCCACTACTGTGCTGATCACAGTTTGCTTCTTCATGTCAGAGTCTCCAGAAAGGAAAAGTCCTCTACCAAGATGGTCACCTCCCCACAGAGACAAAGTGCAAAAAAATGCATTGTATGTTAGTAATGGGGAAGATCAGATGCAGGTAGACCACAGGCAATGCTCATGTCTAACTTCCTTGCCTTCAGTCTGCCTTTTTTTGGGTACAACTTCCACAGCACAGTTCCTAGTAAAATTTTGTTTTACCTAAATTCTATAAGCAAAGCCCACTTCACTAGCCGTTTGTATACAGTGAGATATGTAAATTGTAAAATCTTCCCAAAAGGACCACACATTATAATGCGTTATTAAAACATGAGCATAAATTATCAAATTTACAAAAGAACATTGGAAATAGAATAGAGTGGTAGAGTATGGATAATGTAAGGTTAGGATGTGACGCTTACTCCACAACAATGATACAACAGATTGACTAAACAGGTTTAATAACATGTTAGATACTCTTCTTATAGGCTTGTTGCAGTTTTACCCCTCTGGAATTACAGGCAAAGTACAATATACACAGAGAAATACACCTTTACCCATTTACCTACCATAGTATTGGTACTTCTTTTCAGACAGTGTTGTGAAACGCATATTCCTGCCACAATGTAAGGCTAAATAATGACAGCCATATTTTCTGGCTCAGCTTTATAGTCTCCTGTGTAACCTGCATGCTCTCAGTACAGGACAGATATGACCTGCACCTGATCTCCTAAGCTGCATAATTATTATCAAATAAAACAGAAGGTAAACAATAAATGTCAAACTACAATAGAGTCTATAAAAATAAAGTGTCAGGTTGTCATGCCGATCCCTTTTTTCAAGTAAGTGCATCTAAAAAAGTAAAAATAAAAAACAGAACACAAAACCCGACTACATGTAAATGAAAAAGGTAAATATCACTGATATTTACCGATCCTCCGCTCAGCCACGCACAGAGCCGCTGCCATCCTGAAACTGACAGGATGACAGCGGCTCCGGTCTCCTCCCCGCTGTGACGGCCGCACGGCGCCCTTGTTGCCATGGCGCCCTGTGCGGCCGCACACCGCTAAGGCCGGCCCTGGCTGCATCAACCTGATTCATGGCAGGTTCACACCATTCTCGGGACCAGATCTGGTCCGGAAAATGGTGTGATCCTGCCCACAGTTCCAGTGCATTCCAGACCAGAGAAAAATTATGCATTTTTCTGGTCTGGAACGGACTGCGCTGGTGTGAACAGAGGCCCGGAAACAATCTGGTCTGGTCTGGAGATGATCTGGATGTGGTGTGAATGGGCCCTTAAGCTGCTTTTGCTTCACACTGGCATGTACGGGGAGAGAAGAAGTTGTTCTAAAGCAAAACAAAGCCTGACACGGAAAGCTGCAAAGCTGAACTAAGGATGTCATTTGAGTGGCTGAACAGAATCACAAATCGTTTGGCAGGTAAAACACTTCCCATATATCATATATTTTTTTATTTTCTAATTAGAAGTTTGCCCTATGTTCCACTGCAAGTACATTAACACAAGCTTGAGTGACAATCTGACATACTTAAAACAATTGCAACAGATAACCTTGGAACACCAAAGAATGAGGAAGAGCTGCCTGTAGATAAAAGTGAGTCAGACACAGAGATCAAGCAAATTGTGTTCGCTTGAGTTGACTGCTGGACTATTCTTCCCAGAAATCATATGTCTTGACATACACACTTGGATCTCAGGAACATGCCTCCAAATAATTAGCAGCCATCTTCAGTGCAAACCTGACAAAAAAAATATTTTATTTTAACTGCACTATGTCTTTATTTTTCATAGAAATCACTTCTAGATTTATTTCTCTGAGATGTATCCGCCCCGTATCTCTCTTGCAACAATTCCTGAACCTCTGGCCAGGGAGAACGCAGAAGGGGCACCTGACCCTGGAAGTACATATCCCATAAACTATTGTGGGCCTATTGTACTGAGCAGAGAGAAGGATGTAGGAGCCAATCTACAACTGGTGGGCAAAGCTGGGATAAATGACACAGAACTAATTTCTTGTTCGTGTAAATGCAGCTAGACTGAATCCACCTAGACACTGCTCAAAGATTAGGTGGGCATTTAGCCAAATAAAAATATCAGGCTCCATTCACACTGGAGCGGCTGTACGAAGCAGCTCTAAACAGAAAAAACAATGCACTTTCATGTGCATTGTTCAGACTATTTACATATAACATTTGCGTCCCGTGCGGTCTTCCGCACGGAAAATGCAAACGCTATTTGTCAATGGACCCTTACGTGAATTCAGATGCATTTTGAAATGAGCTCCAAACATATCTGGAAATATGTATTTTGATGCCTGTAAGCATGAGGCCTAAGGACTGGTAAACTGAAATATGTATATTGTTTTTGTTCTTGGGTTTACATATCCTTTAAAAGGAGAACTATGGGGTTAGGGCTTTTGCCCATAGTTCTCCTTAGGGTAACGGGAGGACACAAACTAGCGTCCTCCCGTTACCCTAAGCTCAGTATACCGCAAGCTACAACTCGCGGTATACTGAGACGCCGCAGCCGGAGCAGATCCCGACTTCGATGAGGCAGAGCCCGACTATCTAGAGGCAGAGCCAGCTGTACCCTCCCCCGTCCGTTACGCCAGTCAGCGCTGGAGGACCGGAGCGGGGAATCCAGCCCCTCCCCTGTCACGGCAGAGAACCGTGACAGGATCGAGAGGTGAGCGAACGCCGGTATATGTTCGCTCACCTCCCGATCTACTGAGCCGACCTGTGACAGTCTCATTGTCACAGGTCGGCTAGAACTATGAGGTGAGTGAAGAGCACTCACCTCATAGTTCTCCTTTAATATTACTTTTGTGTAACACTTACAATACAAATGTTACTCCAATGTTCTGATCCATCGGTGGTACAACATATCTTCATTATTTGTTTTATAGTATACATTTGATCAAGTGAAGAGAGGATATTAGTCAAACCTAAAATAATGTATTATTTGACAAATATACTGGAGATGTAGAAATGTATAAACCAGTATCCAGAAGCAGACAATATCTAGAGAGGGAAGTACATGAAGCAGACAGCTAAGGAATGTCTGCCACAAATTTTACTGGCCTAACTACCTCCCAGGAATATTCAGCCATTGTAGCTTGTCCTTGTGTTCATCTGCAACTGGGCAACAATAGTGACGTTTATGTGGAGGTTGCCATGTAAGTGATAGCTCGGGAATGTGCCATGTTGTCAAATAGGAAATAAATGAATCAGCTCTATAGGGTTCTATCACAAATTTGAACAGGTCAGGTAAATACAAAATACAGGCCTGTAGATGGAATGAGAAATTGTCATAGGTCGGCGGATACATCACATACTTGTCATTCTGTTTATCTAGAATTATTACGGCTGTACCTATTGGTGAATTTTACCATACAACTGAAAGTTAAAAAATAAAGAGGGCAAAGCGGGATGTAAAAGGGTTATATAATTAAATCATTAGTTGCACTTTAAATACTGAATTTACTAAAACAAAAAACTGTTGTCATTGAATGTATTCACTGACACATCGCTGTAAAGTGCAACTGAGGACAATCCAAATAAGAATCTGTGGCATGATTTGAAGATTGCTGTACACCAACACTACTCGTTTAATTTGAAGAGCTGGAGCAGTTTTGCCTTGAAGAATGGATAAAATCCCAGCGTCTGTGCCAAGCTTATAGACAGCAGCTGTAATTGCTACAAAATGTGGCTCTACAAAGTATTGACTTTTTGAGGAAGAGGGGTGTGAACACTTATACACATTTCACGAATGGTCAGTGAGAAGCTGGCCAAAGCTCTCAATCACAAGAACCAGTCAACATTTACACAAGATAGACTCCAGGATTTTAGGGCTTTTGGAGAACCCTGGATCAGTGGTTCTCAACCTTTCTAGGGCCGGGACCCCTTGGTAACATTTGCCAAGTTGTGATGACCCCCAACGGAGCGCTGGACTCCAGAATTAGTAAGGTGCTGGACTTGGGACTAAAAATAGAAGCACACTCACAAGAATACAAGCCCTCTCCAGCCCCTGCTACCTGCTTGCCTGCTCTGTCTCCATGCAGCCTTCTCAGCCCCAGCACTGCTTAGACGCCCGCCTCCTGCAGAGCTCCCATTGTATGGGAGGCAGGAGCACAGCAGCGACTGTGAATAGAAAAGCCCTGCTGTACACACTCCCCGGCCACTAGATGTCACTGCAGCGGCCAGGGAGTTTGTATAGCTGCATTTTTATATTCACAGCCTCTGCTGTCCTCCCGCTGACTGACACTGCTGCGCTAGGAGGAGGCTGAGGAGCCTTTCACCTAGCGCAGCAGAAGTGGAGGCTCCGACCCCCCTCAACAGTGAGTTGCGACCCACTTTTGGGTTGCGACCCACAGGTTGAGAACCGCTGCCTTAGATGAAACTCGCATGCATATTATGGAATACAACTTTGCTTAATAAAGGCAGGCAGATTTTTGGGAAGGAATGACACTGCCCCTTGTCTAATCAGAGAACATCTATTATTCAGCAAGCGAAATACTAGGCGTCCTCTGAATGGCTGCTATACTCCGTGATGACTCTGTGTCTTAACAGCACAGGGAAATTGTTCAGCATAGAGACTGTAGCAGAGACCCAGAAGGCGGATTG